GATCGTACGAGGCGACTGCATGTCGATGACCGCCTGCACCTTCTCAGGGTTCGCCTTTATTCCTCTCTGATTGATAAGGAATCCGAGGAATTTCCCAGACTCAACTCCAAAGAAACATTTCCTGGGATTGAGCATGACATGGTGCCGCCTAAGTGTGGCGAAAGTTTCTCGGAGGTCCGACAGATGATCTTTCTGAAGTTTAGACTTGACAATCATATCATCAATATATGCCTCGACATTTCTCCCAATCTGATCAAAGAACACAGTGTTTATCATTCGCTGGAAAGTGGTCGGGGCATTCTTAAGACCAAACGGCATGACCGTGTAACAGTATAACCCCTGATCAGTGACGAAGGCCGTCTTCTCCTGATCTTTCTTCCATAAAGGAATTTGATGGAAACCAGAGTAGGCGTCCATAAAGCTCATCAAAGCATGGCCGGCTGTTGAGTCGACCAGGTTATCATTTTTAGGCAGAGGGTAACTGTATTTGGGGCACGCCTTGTTTAATTCTGTATAGTCTACACACATTCGCCAGGTGCCATTCGGGTTTTTAACAAGCACCACATTTGCAACCCAGTCTGGGAAGTAACATTGCCGAATGAACCCTGCATCAAGTAATTTTTTAACTTCAGCGGCTGCCGCCTGACTTCTTTCTTCGCCATGGTTCCGCTTCTTCTGCCGTACCGGCTTCTTTTTCGGATCCACGGCCAGTTTATGTACCGCCAGATCAGGACTAATTCCTGCCATTTCATGGACTTCGAATGCAAAGATGTCCTTGTATTCTTTCAATAGTTTGTGAAAGTCGTCACCCAGGTCCCTTAGAGCAGTCGTCCCAACCTTGATTGTTCTGTCAGGACGCGAGTCATCTAAGATCAGGTCCGTATGCTCACCAGCTGGCTGAGGGCAGAATTCATCCGACCGCTCCTCTGCCATTGATTGCTATTTTCTGTCTTTTCTTGCGGCCCCTGTCTGGGATGCCTTTCTCTTCTTGCCGCCTGCTTCTTGAACAGGCGCACTCTCCTTGACATTGTCAAGGTCTATTTTTCCACCTCTCGACCCAGTGGCCATAACAGTGGGCTTGACATCCGAGAGATAGCACTCTCGGGCCATCATCTGATCTCCCCTTAGGGACCCGACTGTTCCATTATCCCTCTCAAACTTGAGCAACATAAGAGATGGGATTATAACAGCCTTGGAATTATTCAGGGTTGGTCGTCCCAGAATCATGTTGTAGGCCGAGAGTTCTTCTACTACCAGGAACCGGACTACCATGTGTCGTCCTTCCCCTTTTTCGCCCAGGCGGATGGGTAAATCCACTCGTCCCACTGGGTGGACGACTCCTCCTCCAAACCCTACTAAAGCGTGGGATGCCGGATGTATGCAATCAGTCTGATATTTTAGTTTCGACAGACATTTGCTACTGATGAGATCTGAGGAGCTTCCGGTATCTATGAGGATTCGGCCAACTCTCTGGTTGGCCACTTTACATTCAATAACGATAGGGTCGTCATGCGGCCCTCTTACCCCTCCTAGATCTTCTTCAATGATGACAATCTCAGGAAATGAATATTTGGAGGGTTGTTATTGGTGAACGGAATTTACATCTAACCGTCTGATATTGTCTTTGTTGCCCCTAATAGTGGGGCCGCCTCCTGAGAAGCCGCCTGCAATGGTGTAGACGACTGCATCATCTGTATCGGAGCTGTCGGCCTGTTGATTCTTTTTGGTCGACTGCTTTTTCGAGGAAATGTTCCCCGTAGATTTCTTGACATAAGTGTCAAGGTCACCTTGCTCAGCCAGGCGGTCCAGATACCGCATGAGAGTGATGCATTCATTGGTGTGATGACCAACATCTTCATGATAATCACAGAATTTTTCTTGGTTCCGATTGTTTGCAGAACCCTTCATGGGGACCGGCTTCTCAATGGAGATCCGTCCCTTGATTTCCTTTAGGATAAATTGGCTATCCTTGTTAAACACATACTTTAGGGAGTATGGTTTGAATTCTTTTTTCTTCTTCTGGGACGGCTGTTTAGAGGAATTAGTTGCCCACACCTCTTTTCTCTTCTCGTCTTTGTTTGACGACTGCTTCTGTCGTCCTTCTCTTTTGTCGGAACTTTTCCCGTCTGACTGTTTTACCGTACTACAAAGATCAGTCGCCTGTATATAGGCTTCCGCTTCAATCAAGGCCTCTTGAAGAGTCGCCACCCTCTTTCGGACCAAATCAAATTTGAAGGTCGACCCGTCTTTGAGACCTCTGAAAAAGTCAGTATAGGCTACTTCATCCGGTAACCCTTGAATCTGTATTCTCATCAGATTAAATCGCCTGATGTAAGAACGAAGCCCCTCCTTCTCGCCCTGCTGAATTGTTCCTAAATCAAGGGTCGTCTTCTTCGCAGGGATGTTCATGGCGAAGTTGGAGATGAATAAGTAAGCAAGCGTCTTGAAGTTATTTACACAACCAGTCGGCAGGTTGCCGAACCATTGTTGTGCGATTCCTTTGAGAGTCGCTGGGAAACACTTGCACCAAGTGGGATCATCCAACCCTTGAAGGTACATCAGGTTGGTGAATGCCATCAGATGGTCTTCTGGGTTAGTAGTGCCGTCATAGGAGCCTACTAATACATTTTTCACTTTGGCCGGCTGAGCGGCTTCAGTAATTTCCTTGGAAAAGGCGACGGCTGTTCACCAAGTCTAAGCAACCGTAGCTGCCAATCCATAGGTTGGACATTTTTTGCTGCATGTCCACCAAACGGAGGTGGATGTAAAAAATATTGTTGTTGCGGTACAAACGGTAAGTTTGGTACCGCCTGGTCGCTATGAAAGCCGGACTGACGGGAGGTGCCGCCTGACTGACCCTCATGATACGACTGAGTATGCCTCATCGAGGTATTTCGCAGACTGTCTTGGAAGTTTGAAGTAGAGGCCGACTCTGACAATCGATCACTCTTCTTCTGCTCTAGCAGTAGCCGAGCGTCTGTGTATGTTTTCCTCGACCCGTCCGCCTGAATATGACGAACAGGTTTCCTATTTCCTGGAGTAGGAAAACGGTATTTTGTGAAATCAAGGGCAGGTGGCTCCCACTTCCTAGATTTAGGATGAGGGGTCGCCTCTCGCCCTTGAACTGGCTTCCTCTTCCGTGAAGTGGAGGGTTTCTTAGCCGACTGCTCCTTGTCCAGAGCAGGCGGCTTCTTGTTGATCAACTCTTGAATTTCTCCCTTGAAGTCCCTCATGAAGGTCATGAGTTCGTTCCTTGTGATGGGAGCAGACCCATCAGTCGGCTGCTGCCGAACAGGCGGTACGCCTGCTGGCTCGCTTCCAGTTTGAAGATGTTCCCGTTCCCTCCTTTCGGTATGACGGGTACGTCGGGCCCTTAGGGTCCCGTCTGAAGCTATGTGAGCTTCAACTTTAAATTCTTCCTCAGTATTGTGGTCCGACTGAACTTGAGGGTCGTCTAGGGGACGCCTCTCTTCAGGAGTCGGTACAGACGTGGATGTCATCTCAGAAGTACTCTCCCCACAGACGGCGCCAAAATGTTTCGGGGTTTTCTGATGTCCTGCGGGAGAGTTACAATTCCGAGACTGGAACCTGACGCCTGTACCTGCAAAACAAACGGATGCTCCGGATGATTGGAGATCCGCCTCCGACGGTCAAGTTAGTACTTGATTAAGGAGTAATTAATGCGGAAATTAAAGTGATTGGGTCTCTCTAGGTGAGAGTGTTTAATGTGTGTAATCTGCGTTTTTTGCGTTATCTCCCTTAATGAGGATTAAGGAAGGTATTTATAACCTCGGGAAACGTGCCAATCTAGGTTTAGGTTAACCTTGGGCTGATTGGGCTTCCCTCGGAAGTTGGGCCTAGGTGATCGGCTTCTCCATTAGGCATGGAGTATGCCACGTGTCATGATATAATAAGTCCAGGGTGGACGAATAAGCGTGTGCCACGTGGCAAGCCCTGAGATGTCCAACTGGGGGACACTTGGCAGGACCTGATTGGCCCACGTGGCGCATTCCGATTGGTGGGAGCAAAATCCCCTAATCAGCTGGTGTGTCTTTTAGTATATTGTTATTGATATATTGATGATAATTTATATTGACTAGTTCTTTGATCGAGCAACGCTCGAATACTTATAGGAAAAGAAAATTATATTTATATAGATTCAATATACATTTAATATTTTATTTATTTTAAAGTTGTTACTGTTCTGTTATTTAGGATGTATAATCTCTCTTTTTTAATCAATTATCTTATTATCTTTGAGGGAGAAAAATTAAAAAATAAATAAAAAATTTGGCGGGAAATTTATTAATGCGGACGCGACACGTATACTACTGGAATAATCTTGATGATTATTTTAGTATATAGTATTGATTGATACTATATTATTCGTATGAATTAATTCTTTGTAATAAGACTCAAAATAAACTCTATTATCTACTCCCTTTATTTCTAAATAAGTGCATCACTTGTTTATGCATAGAGTTTTAGCTTTGACAAATTAATTAAAATAAGTATTTTAATTACCGTGCAAGTGGTCAAGTTAAGAATATAAAATGTTAATGAAAAGAGAATGGGAGGATATTTTAGTCACACACACCAAAGATAAGATTGTGTAGTCACACACACCAAAGATAAGATTGTGAATATGTACAAGGATAGTAGGATGAGAGAATAAACTTAATAGAAACTTAATACAGACTTATTGCCTTGTTTGGCAATTAGTCACAGGTTGTTCCTCCTTGTCGGTCTGGTCAGTTGTTTGTATTAGCTTTTTATGTTATAATTCTACGTAAAATTGAATCTTTTTGGTAATATTGATTGTTGGTTAATGGTTGTTTTATACGAAAATGTCAAGAACCAACACAAAAAAGCTAGTCTTACATTCTTACCAGCTTTTGGCTGAAAAGCTGGCTTTATAACAAACAAATAACCCAAATAATCAATCATATATTTATTTTGGCTTCTGACCACATCCATAAGCCAAAAGTCATGAAAAATTATTTACCAAACAAGCCCTATATGTTTTTTTCTTTTTTCTGCTTGCACGGACACAAACTATATTTCTTATTAATTTCGTTGACAAAGTAAGTATACATGTTATTTTGCTTGAATTAGCTAGTAAAAGGCAAATAGTATATCAAAATGGAAAACTAAATTAGTGATATAATTCTATGCACCTAGCAAGAAAGGTTATCCCCAGTAGCAACACCAAGCTGACTACAATACTCAGTAAAATACTTAATACGAGCATTAACAGCAGGGGTGTTACCACCATTACATTCAATGCTATTGATAGCCCTAATGGTTGATCCGAACCCTTGGCCGGAGATGATCTTAGAGTGTACATTGTCCATCCAATACCAGAAGGCTGTCTTGAAGGCGATAAGGGGATCATTGGCCACAGTTTCCGGTGCATTTAAACCGTCGAATCCAATACTTTGTCCTGCAGGTCCATAGTTGAAGTTCCATGACAGCTGAATTGGTCCTCTTCCGTAGTATTCCTTGTTGGGGTTACATGGCCATTGTGTGTTGTTTTCGTCACAGTAGTCGCCTGATTTATCAATTTCCTCTATGTAGCAAAAATCTGTACATAATGAAGAGAGTTTAATTTATTGTTATTGTTACTTCAATCAAAATGATTTAATTTGATTTAACTTGAATGTGCTACTATACTATTATTTGGTCTAACTAGTCATCGATATTGATCACGTATGAAAAGATTTTCTATTTTATTTATCTATTGAAAGGCATGTTAAGTACAACCAAATGAACAGAGATACTGAAGTAATAATGGAGTCAATTGATCCTATTTAAATTAATATTTTGAAGATTTTCTAAATTTGAGACTTGTGTTTTTCGTTATTTTTAATAGAATTGAAGTACTTGTATTTAATCCACTTGATTTTCACTTAATTTTATACAGTACAATATAACCTCACTATAATATTATTCTAGATCCACCACCTAAAACAAATCGTCATTTGATGCTTAATATTTGAATAATTGTACAACGAAAAGAAAATAATTTATATTAATTATTATATTTGCATTAAAGATTGACCAAAGAAGTTTACTCCATACCTTGTTCTTATTGTGTTTATTAACAAATTAAATAAACTAAAATGCAAAGCTAACGAACTCCCTGTATAATTAAATTAAATATGTTAAATTGAATTCAACTCTAATTACACTGATCGACGGATGATTTTAACGTGCAATCCTAAGCTAATATCATTTTAGAGATTATTTTAATTGCTTATCTAACATCCAAAGTTTATTAGCAAGATCCTAAACTAAATCATGATTTGTTCAAATAAAATCGACAACATACATCCTAGCATCATGTACATATTATAAAAGCTAAGTATATGTAAACAAGAGTTAGCTAGTATACTTACGTCCAGTTTCATGGGTGACATGAGCAAAAAATGCGGCGATTTCACGTTTAGAATCATCAGAAGTTCCAACAGTACCAAACTGAGGATAGCTGCTAAGAGCATCCAAAAAAACAGACCTGGTATAGAAATTCCTACCAGCACAACTAGCATCAGATTGGTCAATTATCCCATTAAAGAAAGCATCAGTGACTACATCAGGGACCGAAACACCACTCGGCATGGTAGGAGTAGGTGTCACGGGAGTTTTGCAAGGACCTTCTTTGCACCCATCACCACAGTAATCATCTGTGGAGCCGCAGTAGCCCCATTTGCTGCAACATAAACTCGTGTCGCAGCCGCAGTTTTGAGCTCGAACTAGGATGTTCGAGGCACATGCGAGGATGAGGACTACCGCGAAGATTGGGTTGAGAGACGTCATGGATCGGATTTGGATAGGGTGGTTATGGGAGGTGAGTAGAGGAAATGGAGATGAGATGAGGTTTGTAGAATTGGTGGATGGATTGAGATATTTATAGTTAAAATAATAGGATGGGAAGTGAGGGAGAAAAGTCTAATTTGAATAGCTATTAGTTGGAGCGTAATGTCTTAATGATGTTCATAAGTCATGTTTAGATAGATCATTGACATTGTACGTTACAAAAGTGCATCTGATGGGTTATTGATGCATTGTTGACTTTTGACTTTGGCTTGGTCGTAGGATCACATACACTTGGGTGGGTATATTTTGTGTCGGCTATTTGTGTCAATTTTTTTTTTTTTTTTTTTTTTTTGGTGAAAAAGAGGGGCAAGCCCCAGGCTATTTGTGTCATGCGTCCATGCGCAATTGTAACATACTTCCTTCATTCTTTTTTTTTTAGAATTTTTGGGATCAAATGATGTAGAATATAAAAAGAAAAGCGGAGAGTTATAAGGACATACAAGTATAAGTTAGAGTAAAAATATAATATTTTTCTGTTAAAAACACAAAAAGTTCAACTCGTTTTTCATTTTGAGTCATTTCAAAAAGTTTAACTCACATCTATTTTAATTTGTTTTTAATAAAAATTTCTTACCCGTCTACCTGCCTTTTTACAAACTCTCTTACTTTATCTGTCTTTAACCCTTACATAATTCACTTTAATTTTATCTTATGCCTACTTAATTTTTGTATGCATTCTTAGAAACAAAAAGTAGTGTTTAATAAGCGAGTTGAATTATTGAAAATGAAAAGGTTGATTATTAATGTGATTGGGTTAAGTTTTTATTGTTTGACAAAAATAATAACATTTGAATGTTCAAAGTAACTTAATTTCATCCTCAAATTTGTGTTATTCTTCATAAATATTCATTATAACCCAATATTAACGAACCCTCAAATGGTAATAGATAGTTATGTAATATTTATGATTCTCGTAAAAAAAATATTTATAATTATCAATTCTTCCTATTTATTATTTATGTGGTCAATCATCATTTTGCGCTAGAATAACAAAAAAAATCCTTTTGATGAAAGAAAATCCTCTCAACTCTGAACCCTCTTCTGAGGAACGCGATCTTCTTCTTCGTTCATAAAAAAAATCCAAAAGAAAAATCAACCACTTAACCCTTTCGAATGAAGGTGCTGCTAATCAAAATGATGGCAACATCTATATGGCACCACCCCCTGCTGGATACACTATGTCGTTTGGCCGTTTGGGGATATGATGACTAAGGAGGCCAATCTGGTGAAGGATGGTGTTTCACACATCAATCTCGATGATGATGAGGATATTTCTGATGATGATGAACCACCAGAGAGGGTCTTGGATGACCCGAAATGCCCTATTATTCTGCTATCTAAGGAAGAAAAGTGTAGGCTTAGACAACCCTGGAAACATACGCTAATAATCAAAATGTTCAATAGCAAGATGGGTTATATGGAATTAATGAAAAGGCTTAAGAAGAAATGGGAATTAAAAAAGGGTTTGATCCTCACGGATATTGCTCATGATTATTTCATAGCAAGATTCTCCATCCTTAGTGACTATAATCATGTATTGATCCAAGGTCCTTGGATGCTCGATGACAATTACCTTACCATTAGGAAATGGACTCCTAACTTCATACCTGATGATTCTCCGATGCGTTTTCTTACTGTCTGGGTGCGAATTCCTCATTTGGCTATAGAATACTTTGATAAAGAGTTTCTGTACAAAATCGAAAGCAGAATTGGTAAGGTAATGCGCATAGACACTAACACTGAGCTAGCTCAAAGGGGGCAATTTACTAGACTTAGTGTGGAATTGGACCTCTCCAAACCACTCTTGTCCAAATTCTGGTTAAAGGGTCGCATCTAGAAGATTCAATATGAAGGTTTGCGATTGATTTGCTTCAAATGTGGGAAGTTTGGCCACCAGGGGGAACATTGCACGTTGAATGAGCCAGCTGGAATGGAAGCTGATAACTATGATGTTCAAGTCCAAGAAACACATAAAGAAGCCCCTGTCCCTACTCTGGAACAACAACATTATGGTTCGTGGATGATGGTCAAAAAACCACCACCAAGGAGACGAGTGACCAAACCAGACAAGGCTTGGGTCAAAACACCGAACAACAGACTCATAACCCCGATCCAATCAATGCGGTCAACGCAACACAAAATAAGGCAAGTGGTTCACGTTTTTCGATCCTTGGGGAGCAGAATAAGGAAACAGAGTTTGATAGCTTGGAGAATAATGCGGTTAATTTAAATTCACAATCCCAAAAATCAAGGGATTTAATTGAGAAAACCATCAATTTAGGAGATTCTAGTCAGCAAAAAGATAATACTGGATCATTTAATTTGGGAAATTCTCACCAAGATCCCTTCATTAATGGTCAATTTTTGGGTAGATCAAAACAATGGCAACAAATTAGGAAAAAAGATAAAACCAAATCAAAAAATATCCTAACTGATGCCACAAACACGCCCCGTCCAAGCAATCAGAATATTCCTACCTCAAATCTCCCAGCTGGCAAAGAAAACTCCTTCAGTATTTTCCAAGCTAAACAAAACCAAAAACCCAGAAGCCACCCTTTTGAACCCCCTCCAAGCTGCAAACAAGCTGATAAACAATCCATCAAACTCCCTGGATTGCACCCATGTCTCTGCCACTCCCCCAATCCGATCTTCACTCGAATTCCACCGGAAAAAAACAAGTGTGTCACAACTCCGATGATGGAACCATATTTGGGAACGACAGACCACCTGATTCATCAACTAGAGATGGAGATACACTCATGGATGGCACCGGAACAGAGGAAACCAGAGCTAGTGGTGACATTGAAGTTACCTTGGAAAGTTAATCATGCTTTTTGAGCAATTTCTGATGCTTACAAATCCAATTTCCCTAACTCTATGGGCCTTATGAATAGTGACCATAATCTTGCTGTTGATTCCTTTCCCAAAACGTGTATGATTTGGAATGTTCAAGGAGCTGGTAACCGTGACTTTCTTGCCGTGCTTAAAGAAGTAGTGAGGATTAATAAACCTGTCGTTCTTACTTTGGTGGAGACTCATATGGGTGGAGACCATGATGTGAAAGGTTGTGATATGTTGGGTTATGCAGGACATACAAGAGTTGATGCACAGGGATTTAGCGGAGGTATTTGGGTGTATTGGAAGCCTGACCTGGTGACTATTGATCCTATTGAGCAATCTAATCAGTACATAACTATGGTGGTCAATAGAGTAGGAGAAGAACCATGGTACTTTTCTTCGGTGTATGCAAGCCCGGACCCTTCAAATAGAAAAGCATTATGGAGTAATTTATCCGATTTTGCAAAGAGGAATAATAAACCTTGGTTACTTGCCGGAGATTTCAATGAAACGAGGTTTGGTTGGGAAAGGAGTTCAAGCGGCCCGGAAACCTCTAAACGTAGTCAGCACTTCAATCATTGGATTGAGGAGACTCAGCTCATCGAAGTAGAATTCTCATGCCCTTCGCACACATGGGCTCGAGGGAATTCTGTCGAACAAGAAGGAGTGCCCGTCTTGATAGGACTTTATACAATGCGGAATGGGGGCTTGAATTTGATAAGGCTAGAGTTAAGTATCTTCTTGCCTTGCAATCCGACCACTGCCCTCTTTTTATTTCTTCTAATGGTTTTGCTCCACTTGGGTCCATAAAACACCCCTTTAGGTTCCAAGATTCATGGCTCTCACACGAGAAATTTGCAGACTTCATTGATGAAAACTGGGATAGGTCGGCCACTACTAAAATTCGGCTGAATTGCGACCGTTTTTCTACGACCGTCTGAAAAACGGTCGCAAAATTCATATTTTGCGACCGTTTTTTATGCGGTCGCAATATTACGACTACTTTGACAACGGTCGCAAATTTGCGACCGTTTTACGACCGTATTTATCCTTTTAGACGGTCGCAAGGCTATTTGAACAATTAAAAATAATTCCAAATTAAAATAAATTGTTTGCGACCGTCAAAGACGGTCGTAAATGTCATAATCTGCGACCGTCTCTGACGGTCGTAAATGACATAATCTGCGACCGTCAAAGAGACGGTCGTAAATGTCAAAATCTCCGACTGTCTCTGACGGTCGTAAATGACATAATCTACGACCGTCAAAGAGACGGTCGTAAATAATTATAATCTGCGATCGGCAAAGACGGTCGGAAATGTCATAATCTGCGACTGTCAAAGAGACGGTCGTAAATAATTATAATCTGCGACCGGCAAAACGGTCGTAAAAGACCCTTTTTTAATTAAAAAAATACGATATAAAAGCATACCTTATTCTCAAACCCTAACTACTTCACACTCCCTATTCACGCCTTTACACTTTCAGCAGTCGCTCCCTCTCTCTTTTCTCTATCTCTCATCTCTCTCTTCTCACGGTTGTTTGTCTTCCTCTTCCGTTCTTTCCTTCTCGCCATTCCTCTTCTCCTCCTTCATTATTATTTGACTTTTATTGCCGAAAATCAGACACACTTCAAAGAAATAGATCGAAAATCGTCCAAACATTCAACCGACGCCGCCAACCGTCACCACCATGACCTCCATCGTCAAGCTTTAGCCCACCACCACTATCTCCACCGTCACAATCTTATGGCTAAGCAAGTTTATGATTTTTAAGGTCAAATTCGACCATAAAAAGTCTAAATCTAGACTTTTCATTGTCGAATTTGGCCTTATTAAACCAAATTTGAGGTGAAATTCGAAGTCAACTCGAGGTTTAAGGTATGTTATCGTGTTTATACTTGTTTGTCTGAGTTTTTATTTGAAATTTTTTTTATTTTTTGTTTGAATTTCAGTATTCAAATGTTAATTTTTGTTCATTTTGGGATTCATTTTTGTTTTCATTTTTTTTGTTAATGTTTGGGTTTGATTTTTGTTATTTTTGTTAATGTTACTATGTTACTATGTATGTTTGATTTTCGTTTCGATTTTTGGGTTGATTTTTTTTAATTTCATTTCGAATTTTATTTTTTTGGTTGATTATGGTTTGATAATTGTTTTATTTTCGATTTTGTGGTTAATTACTTTGAATTTTTTCTGTTTTTTTTTATTAATTCGAAATTCCATGTTTTAATTCGAATTTCCATGTTTAATTCATTGGAATTTTGTCTTTTTTTCCTTTGAATTTTTGTTTGGATTTTTTGGCTTTTTTGGGTTT